CACCTTATACAAAAATTAACTCCAGATGGATTAAAGATTTAAACATAAGATCTATCATAAAAACCCTAGAAGAAAACCTAGGCAAAACCATTCAGGACATAGGCATAGACAAGGCTTCATGACTAAAACATCAAAAGCAATGACAACAAAAGCCAAAATAGACAAATGGGATCTAATTAAACTTAAGAGCTTCTGCACAGCAAAGGAAACTATCATTAGATTGAACTGCCAACCAACAGAATAGGAAAAAAACTTTGCAATCTACCCATCTGATAAAGAGCTAATATCCAGAATCTACAAAGAACTTAAACAAATTTACAAGAAAAAAGCAACCCCATTGAAAAGTGGGCAAAGGATATGAACAGACACTTTTCAAAAGAAGATATTTATGCTGCCAACAAATATATGAAAGAAAGCTTATCATCACTGCTTATCAGAGAAATGCAAATCAAAACCACATTGAGATACCATCTCAAACCAGTCAGAATGGCAATCATTAAAAAATCTGGAGACAACAGATGCTGAAGAGGATGTGGAGAAATAGGAACACTTTTACACTGTTGGTGGGAGTGTAAATTAGTTCAACCATTATGGAAGACAGTGTGGAGATTCCTCAAAGATCTAGAAATAGAAATACCATTTGACCCAGCAATCCCATTACTGAGTATATACCCAAAGGATTATAAATCATTCTATTATAAAGACACATGCACATGTATGTTCATTGTGGCATGGTTTACGATAGCAAAGACTTGGAACCAACCCAAATGCCTATCAATGATAGATTGAATAAAGAAAACGTGGCACATATACACTGTGGAATACTATGCAGCCATAAAAAAGGATGAGTTCATGTCCTTTGCAGGGACATGGATGAAGCTGGAAACCATTATTCTCAGCAAACTGACACAAGAACAGAAAACCAAACACCACATGTTCTTACTCATAAGTGGGTGTTAAACAGTGAGAATACATGGACCCAGGAAGGGGAACATCACACACTGGGTCCTGTTGGGGGGTGGGGGGCAGGGGAGGGATAGCAGCATGTGGGGGAATTGGGGAGTGATAACATTAGGAGAAGTACCTAATGTAGGTGACAGGGGGATGGATGCAGCAAACCACCATGGCATGTGTATACCTATGTAACAATCCTTCACAGTCTTCACATGGACCCCAGAACTTAAAGTATAATAATAATAATAACAAATGAATAAAAATAAATAAATGTAAGCAGTTAATTTTTACACTTGCATTTGAGACCAGTGACTTCTATATTTGCTATACTGGTGTAGCCAATTCTGCCTCTCCCATTCTTTCCTCTAGTAGCTAGAGATTTCTTTAATTTGGAGCTGGTGACTGTTGACTATGCAACGGGACTGACACAGAATTTACTGTAGAGTTAATATGTAAGTATATACATTACAGTATTCAGTCACAGTGAGGTGCCATTATTCCTGTATGATCAGTGACTACATTTTCATCAGTAAAGGAATTGCTAATTTTTTTTCTAAGACTTGCTTTTCCTTCAGAAGAAAAGTACTACACCTATCCAATGATTCAATGGCCTATTAACCTTGCATTAGTTCATCTTCATGCTGATAATAAAGACAAACTCAAGACTGGATAATTTATACAGGAAAAAGGTTTAACGCACTTACAGCTCCACATGCCTGGGGAGGCCTCACAATCATGGCAGAAGGCAAGGAGGAGCAAGCCACGTCTTGCATGGATGGCAGCAGGTAAAGAGAGAGCTTGTGCAGTGAACTCCCATTTTTAAAACCATCAGATCTTGTGAGACTCATTCACTATCACAAGAACAGCACAAGAAAGACCCTCCCTCATCATTCAGTCACCTCCCACGGGGTTCCTCCCATGGCATGTGGGAATTGTGGGAGTTACAATGCAAGATGAGAATTGGATGGGGACGCAACCAAACCATATCAATCTTCATGGTCCATTTGGATCTAACCAGGTGTACTAGCTTTCTCTTACTCTCTCTTTCTCTATATATGTATTGTCTGCGATCTCAGGAAAGAGAAAGAGTGAGATCTGTTTTAAGGAATTGGCTCACACCATAACAGAGGGTGATGAGTCTCACGATCTGCCCTCTGTGAACTGGAGCCCCAGTAAAGCTGCTGGGAGAAGTTCTAATCTGAGTCCACAGGCCTAAGAGCCGGAGAACCAACGGTGTGATTCTCAGTCCAGGAGCCAGAAAAGAGTGATATCCGAGCCCCAGCAGAGAGCAGATTTTCTCCCGCTCCTTCTTTTCTTCTATTCAGTCCTCCAAGAGACTGGCTGGGGCCCAGCACATGGATGGCAACCTGCTTTACTCATTCTACCTGTTAGGGTCTGAACCTTTGAGACCCCTTTGAAAAAAGATTCATGTGCACAGGGAGGGGAACATCACACACTGGAGTCTGTTGTGTGTGGGATAACATTGGGAGAAATGCCTGATGTAGGTGACGGGGGGATGGAGACAGCAAACCACCATGGCATGTGTGTACCTATGCAACAATCCTGCAAGATCTGCACAGGACTTAAAGTACAATTAAAAAAAAAAAAGATTAATGTGCTGAACTATTATCCTGAATATGATGATATTTGGAGGAGAAGCATTAGGGAGGTAATTAAGCATGAGAGTAGAGCGGGTAAGAGCAGGCCAGAGAGCTAGCTCACTCTATTTCTGTCATGTGAGGATACAGGGAGAGTCAGATGACTGCAATCCAGAAGTGGACCCTCACTGACACTGGACCATGATGGCATCCTGACCTCTGGCTTCCAGCCCACGGAGCCATGAGAAGTGTATTTCTATAATTGATGAGCCACAGTGTTTATAGTATTTTTGTTACAGCAGTCCAAGCTGATAAAGACATTACTCCTTCAAATATTAATCTCATCCAGAGACACCATCACAGGCACATCCAGGATAGTATTTAACCAAATATCTGGATGCCCTGTATTCTAGTCAAGTTGATGTATGAAATTCACTATCGCACCGGGGATGCTGCTCTCTTCTGCTGGGATACTTACTGTTATTCATGAAATAATTTCCAATTTACAAAGTTTTCCTTGGACACATGGTCTTTAATAACAATGCCTGTTTTGTCTTTGGGGTTTGTTTCATTTTGTTGCTTCTTTTGCATTCCTCCAATGTGCTTGACAGAAGCCCAGCTGCCCAATTTCCTTGCTTCATAGGAGGTGGCATTGCATGCTGCAGCTCTGCCTATGGGCCAGTTGCCTTGTCTTTTGCCTGCCTATCATTTCCTCAGCTGTGGAGAATACGTAACAAGCCTCGCTCTGTCCCAGCCACTGGGCATTCAGCCATGCACAGCAGGAATTAAAAACTCTGCTGCCAAAGAGTGTGTGTTCTTGAGTAGAAAGACAGATGATGGACATGCAATAATTATGGGAAGTGTCAGGTGATGGTAACAGCAATGAAAAATAAATATAGGGCAAGGGAACGGACAGAGGTTGATGGACAGTGATAGACACCTCTGACGGATGAGTTGGCAGTTTAGCAGAAACCTGACCCAAGTGACCATGGGGTCTGCAACTACTTCTTAGCTAGGACAACAACACAACAAGCAACAAAATAATAACAAACTTTATTAAAATTAAAATCCTTTTCAAGTTAAAGGAAACCATCAAAAAGTAAAAAGACAGCTCATATCTGCAAATCCTACATGCGATAAAGGACTCATATCCAATATATACAGAGCTCTCACAGCCCAATAATGAAAAGACAAATAACCCCATTAAAAAAAATGGACAAAGAGTTTGAATAGACTTTTTTCCAAAGAAGATACGTAAATGGCCAGTAAACTCATGAAAAGGTGTTCAACATCATTAGTTATCAGAAAAATGCAAATCAAAACCACAATGACATACCAGTTCACACCCACTGGGATGGCTAAAATAAAAAAGACAATAACAAATGATGGTGAAGATGTGAAATAATCACAACCCTTATACATCGTGGGGTTGCAAAGCAGTGCAGTCACTTTGGCAAACAGTTTTTAACATTTCCCCAACATGTTAAAAATCGAGTTTCCACATAACCCAGCTATTCCACTTTTTGGTATATACACAAGATAAGCAAAAACACATGTCCACATGCCCACACTAGAACCTCTGCAAGGATGTTCATGCAGCGTTACTCATGTAAAAAATGGAAAGGATCTAAGTGACCATCAGCTGAGTTAACGGACACTCCAAAGTGGCCCAGCCGTACAATGGAATATGATTTATAAAACCCTGAATAATGGATACATGCCACGACATGGATGAATGTTGAAAACATCCTGTTCAGTGAAAGACGCCAGTCGTGGAAGGCCACATTTATGTAAAATGTCCAGAATAGGAAAATTCATAGAGACAGAAGAGTCAACGAATGGTTCCCAGGGCTGGGACTAGGGTTGGGACTGCGCATGTGTAGGGTTTTTTCTGGGGTGATGAGAACGTCCTAAAATTAGATAGCGGTGATGGCTACACATCTCTGTGAATAGATCAGAAACCACAAATTGTACACTTTTAAAAGGTGAATTTTATGGTATGTTGAATACATTCTCAATGAATCTATGAAGAAGAATAATTACTGTAATTGTTTATATTACATTAAAAAAAGAAAATCCATGTCTATGATTATGTTCAAAATAAAAAGAAATAAATTCATTAGGTGGTTTTAGAGGTGACTCCTACACCAACTCCTTACTTCAAAAGCAGTAATTGTAGAATAAAATATTTCCCCATTTAGGAGATTATGTACCAAATTGATGAGGGAAAACTTTTTCAGAATGACATCTCAACAATATGGAAGAAATGATAGTCATCAGTGTGGAAGAAGTGGCCATTTGCAAACTCCCTTGGTTTAAGGATTCAGGCAAGGAGCATGAATGGAGGTGGCAGGTGCTCGGGGAACTGGGGAGTTTCAGGCGTCCGGTGTCTCTCTGCAGCATCCCCACTAATTACAAAGGGGAAAGCTTAGGATCCTGTAACGGGACATGGTGGCCACCCACCCACTCAGGGGTGAGCTGATCTAATTTTGTATCACTAATAGTGTTAGCAGTGCAGGGTGTCCAGGTTCTTGGTGTACTGAACAAAGAATTGGACAAAATGCACCAAGCAAGGAAAGAATGAGGCAACAAAAGCAGAGATTTATTGAAAATGGAAGAACAATCCACAGGATGGGAGCGGGCCTGAGCATAGGGGTGCAAGAGCCCCATTACAGAATTGTTTTGGGTTTAAATACCCTCTAGAGTTTTCCGTTGGTCACCTGGTGTACACCCTGTATAAATGAAGAGGATGAGGTAACGTTACAGAGCCATGTACTTGGTGTACGCCCTATGGAGAGGATATTTCCCATCATAGTTGACGTGGGTAAATCAGCCTTATGTTCTCTGCCTCCAGACCTTATTCTCCTGCCTCAACAGTGGGAATCACAGATCATCACCTGTGAAGCCTTAGCAAACTACTCAACCTAGTTATAAACAATTGAACCTCGGACCAAACTTCCATTTTATTGATTGATATAGAATCAACCAATATAATTTCAACCACAGCACAGAATGAAATAATCAGACAAATACCAAAAGTAGACAGGATATAAGACAATCAGCCTTGTCTTTTAAAAATGTCGATATAATTTTTTTTAAGTGTGACTGTTTAAGGTGAAAAGAGCAGGACTCTGTGATGACCATGAAAACCAGCGATCATGCACTGTAGTTGGGTGCATCGTATGTATATAAAGAAAGTTGTTAAAAAGAGGATAGTCTGAATAAAGAAAATGTGGCACATATACACCATGGAATACTAGGCAGCCATAGAAAAGAATTAGTTTACATCCTTTGCAGGGACATGGATGAAGCTGGAAACCATCATCCTCAGGAAACTAACACAGGAACAGAACACCAAACACCACATGTTCTCACTTATAAGTGGGAGTTGAATAATGAGAACCCATGAACACAGGGAGGGGAACATCACACAGCAGGGTCTATCGGTGGATGGGGGGGCAGGGGGAAGGAGAGCATTAGGACAAATACCTAATGCATGAGATGCTTAAAACCTAGATGATGGGTTGATGGGTGCAGCAAGCCACCATGGCACATGTACACCTATGTAACAAACCTGCATGTTCTACAAATGTGTCCCAGAACTTAAAGCAAAATTTAAAAATAAATAAATAAATAAATGTAATAACCAAACATATGGATTCTTATTTGAAAACACAGCTATATAAATGGTCATTTTGTGGAAAATTAGGGAAATGTGAATATTTGCTGGGTATTAGCAGACAGTTGGTCATGACTTGATTTTCTTAAGTAACAATGGTCTGTGGTTTTGAAGGAAAATGTCTTTATTTTAGTAGACATGCTCAGTACTGAATTATTTAGGGGTAAAAACTCATAACTTTACTACTGTCTCAAATATTTCAGCGCAAAAGTGGACAGAGAGACAGACAAGCAAGTTGGAGTATTAATTTTGTCACCTAGGTGGCAGGCATGGTCCCTCATTCTGCTGTTCTTATTTGGAAGAATAGTACATGGGGTGTGTTGTGGGCATGTGCTGTATTCTACAGTACAGGTGGAGAAAAAACTGTTAAATTCACTTTCAGATCTCAAATGTGGTGACCCTCTTTTTTGCTAGGCGGTGGGAGTTTTTATCCCACTCATCTCCAGGAATGTCCTTCCATTCCTGGGAGGCTCAGGTTTGTTCCAAGTGTTCAAGGAAGTCCCTTCTGCATTCCTGAGGAGCTGCACCTGGCCTGGGTTCTGATGGCAGGCCCCCGTGGAGGGCGGGCCAGCGTAGCACCATCGCTGGGACAGGGGTTCCCGTCCACTGTCCACGCCAGTGTCCTCTTTCGGGGCTGGACTCCCCTCCCTTCCTCCCCTTCTCAAAGGTCACTGTCTCTCCTTCTCCCCCAGTGTAAATCCTGAACCGTCTGAATGACTTTGTCTCCAAAACACACACCAAGAACAAGAAAGGAAAATCATTCCAAATGCCTGCTTTCTGCCTCCATCATAAACACCTCTGGGATTCAGAAACGATAAGGGAAGTCCAGACTGGACAAAGCAAAATCTACAATGGCTTTAAATTGTCCTGTGCCACTGCTCCCAAAAACACCAAATGTCAGTGCCATTGTATTTCAGGGAAAAGTTGCTGGAGAGAATAAAGCAAGGTCAGCATGTCTCCAGGCATGCCTCCCAATCAGTTCTGTGCCTCTGGGGGACAAAAAAAGGCTTGTGGTTAGATAGATTTGGGCAATGCTAGAAGGAAAGAATTGATGGGAACCTTCCAAGTGTTGAGTGCGATCTTTTCAGCACAGTGGGGCAGTCAGTGGAGGCTACTCTGGGTGATGGCGCCACACTGAGAAGAGAGCAAATGGGCACAGAGAGATAAAGGAAGCACCCAAAGTCTCCCAGCACCCAGTCTCCCCTGCCAGCCCTGAGGGCAGCCAGCAACCAGGACTTCATGTCCCCTCCCTGAGAGCTCACATTTCCTTACTTTAAGAATTTAAACAGTCAATCATGTTTTTTTCTTATTTGGACAACTTCTGGCTTTATTTTTTATTAAGGTAGCAATGTTCCCCCAAGCTGGGTTCTACACACAGAAAATCCTTCTGTCTGCCGGACTGCTGGGAAAATACCTGCGGAAGGACAAGCCATGGCCGCCCATCTACGCTGGAAGGGGAAGGTCTCCGCTCTCAAGGATGAGGAAAAACCCACAGTCTCACTTGAAAAACACTCACAAAAAATAGGAAAGAACAGACAGTTCCCGGGGAGGCTTCATCCACTCCTTTCTAGCCCTTGTATTCAGGAACCAATAGGCCTCCCACTCTTTCTTTTCTAGAAATGTGAGCGACCATTTGTTACCAATGAAGAGATGGGCAGTATGAAACAAGGATCAGAAACAGCAAATAATCAGCAACTCCAAATATTTAGAAAAGCAGTTGGTAGGAGTCACATCTTCTTTCCCCACAGAGGCAGGTTTAATTGGAAAATTAGACTCTGCAGCAAAACCATGCTGGGGTCCCGCGTTTGTGCTGCGCGCTCGCGGAAGTCGCAGTGTGTTTGCACTGGGTCAACTCCACTACCCGGGGAAATTCAAAGGGTTTAATATTGGGGCCTCTGGTTTCTGCAAAGCCGCGCTGGAGAGGGCCATGTGCCCCGCGTGCAGCATCTCGACATCATCCCCCTCGGCCACATGGGCCTTGCTGTTAGGTGTGCATTTCTCAGAGCCACATTAACCTCGGGATGACTGGAAAACATCGGGGCCACTGAACCACGCCACTTCTGCTTCGGTTTTGCCTCCCCCAGCAACCGTGGATTTATTTCCTCCTTGTCTATAGCTAGATTCCCCCGGAGCAAGTCAGACACACACCTTTTATTTATTTATTTAGTTTTAAATTTACATATTATGTGTTGAGATAGGGTCTTACTCTGTCACCCAGAGTTCAGTGAAGTGGTGTGATCTCGGCTCACTGCAACCTCCCAGGCTCAAGCCAGCTTCCTGCCTCAGCCACCCAAGTAGTTGGGAACCACAGACCCACACCACCACGCCTGGTTAATTTTTTTGTATTTTTGGTAGGGATTTTGCCATGTTGCCCGGACTGGTTTTGAACTCCTGAGCTCAAGTGATCCTCCCCGCTTGGCCTCCCAAAATGTTGGGATTATAGGCGTGAGCCACAGCACCCAGCCCACATACACCTTTTAGACATGTACCAGGTCATGAAATCAAATATCCTCTATTTTTCAGACTTTCAACGTTTTTCGCTTCACTGGCCCCATTCTCTCCACATGCTCAAATCTCTCTAATTATAAACAAATCAGACCAATGAAACACAAGCAATAGAAAACAAACAATGATTGGAACCATCTCCCCCATCCCTAGCCAAGGCTCTACCTCCAGTGTCAGGCCACACAACAGTTTTGGAAAAGGGGTCAAGTCTGCACCACACTCTCTAGCTTGATGCCAAGAATTCTCCCTCTGCCTCTTTGTCAGCTCGTCTGCAAGTCTACGAGGGCCACACTCTAAATCCCCAGAACTGGTGAAGATGTGAGGTCACAGGGCAGAGAGAACATCGGCCTGCAG